AGACCCCATTGGGAGTTGGGCATCTGAGTGTTAAAGGCAGGAACACTTCTGTAAGCTGCTTTCAGTCAAGTCTGCAGCTTTGGGGCAAGTAATTCAGACCCTGTGGCTGTGTTGGAGCAGACGGGAGTGTCTGGCTCAGCATGGCAGGGTGCTGTGGTCCCAGGCTGGCAAGGAAGGCAGGGGCAGAGTCAGGTGGCAGCTCCCAGGGGTTTCTGTGATCCAACCCATCACAGTAGGTTATCCCATGCTACTGCAGTGAGATGCCTTCAACATCCCAGGGACTGCAAAGGGTGTTAAAAATGGGGCTGGGGGAGACAGTAGGAAGCATGGCCTCTCAGTGTTTAACACGTGTAATTCCATGGTTCAGTCCATCTGCTTTTAAATATAATTTCCTGCTCTCCATGGAGACTCTGGCAAAAGGGGCCACTCCTCACCTGCACAGGTTACACAGGAGACCAGGGCAGGTTTGTCTTGTTTATTGTGGGGCTTGGACCAGAATGAGCTGGTGTCTACTCCTCTCTGTGCCAGGGGAACATCAGCTCGTTGCTTTCGGTTTCCTTCTGAGTCAGATGGATTTAAAAATAACCTGCCCCCCCCCAGCCCCATTCCCAAGATAGTTCAGGTGCCAGAGCTCCCAGGGGGAGCCAGTCAGGTCCCACAACACAGTGGGCTGGGACCCATTGCCCCTGGCAGCCTGCTGGAGTCACTGGCTGGGATCTCACCCACTCCCTCAGGCAGGCATTTGTCCCTGGGCGTGTGGGAATCTCCTTTTCTCGGCTAGTCCTTGAGCCCCGGGAGGGTCTGCAGGGCATGGGGCTCTGATGGGGTGTGTAGGGCAGAGGCTGTGATGGACTGTGCACGCTGGCCCCTCTGCTTGGATGGGGGCAGGAAGGGATGAACTGACAGCTGAGGGATGTGGGGGAAGAGGTTAGCCCTGCACTGGAGAAACTGCCCATCCACTCCTATCTGGGAGGGAGTCTCTCACCTGGCTGTGGTGCTGAAGAATGAGGAAATCCTTAAAGGCCAGGTAGGGTGAAGTCCGGGTCTGTTCCAAGGAGGAAAGGACTGAAACTTGCCCCACGCAGGGCTGGAGAGAGCAGGGAGTTGCTTTCACAGACAGTTAGGAAAACCCCTGAGCCCTGTTGGAGGAACAGACAGTCAGGGACCAAGTTCCCCTCGGAGGGGAGTTGACTCTTCTCTCCTTTACCCTGAAGCCAGGACCTGGGCAGAGGGTTTCACTGGTCCTGTCCTACAAGCCTCCGACAGGTTTGTTTTATGACAACCAGTGATTTCAGCTGGTGCAACGCTCAGCACTTGAGTCATCTACTGCATTGGTGACACAGCCTGACACAGGTATGGTACCACATGGGATGTAGGGGGCAGATCAGGTTGGAGGGGGGGAGGATACATATATGGTGGCTTAAATCCACAGCAGGCAACCAGGTATGTGTGTGTGTGGGGGAGAGGGGCTGTGGAAGGCTGGAGAGGCTCTAGGAGATTCAGAGAGGCAGATGAGGTATCCTATGTAGGGATGAGCCTGTCCCCTTTATTCTAATAAAGCTCCTTGTTCAGTGCTAGTGTAATGCTGATGGGTGCCATCAAACCTGGGGCTTCCGGAGCTTAATGCATGAGCCTCTACTGCATGAGTTACGAGCCAACTGCCTGTTAGCGAAGGCTATAGAGCAGACTCATTAACTCGTTCTCTCTAAGTTGTCTCTGTGCCCCTAGATGGGACAGAACACCACACCCAGGAGGTGTGGGAGTTACCCTATCAGAGAGCATCTTCCCCAGACCCTATCCTCATACATCAGGGAGCAGTGCTGGGATCTGGGAGGTCTGTGTAGCAGGGGCTTCTGTGAATCCCTTTTTAGGTTCCTGACTCTCACCAGGCGTTGTATGAGCTTGGGCACATGACTTGGGGGCTACGAATTCCACAGGATGGTCAGGTATGTGAAAGAGGCTGCAATGCTGATCTCTCTTGTCAGTCATGTCCTTTGAGAACCTTCTGTGAAAATAATCCAGATTACATCAAAGAAATACGTGATTCCTTCATCCGTTTCTCCTCCTAACAGAAACAACAAGCAAGATCCCAAATATTAGCAAAACTGCTTGGGCCAAAAGGGGTAGCAAGTGCATCCTGGGAATCACCATTAACTGTGGCATTACAAACAACATCTCCTTCAGGCAGAGTAACCAGCATCAATTCTGACATTTGCTATGGTGGAGTGGTGGCAACTCCACAGCTACGGTTGTGGCAGTTTCCCTTTTCACAGGACGATTAAACTTTGATTTTTAAGAGATCTTGTAAAACGGATAAGATACAGAAACATTAAAATTTACACAGTATTGGAAATGTTTGTGCAGGTTTGGTGCAGAGCGGGTTCATATACACAGAATGAGAACTCTTTTTAAAATGCTGAATGGATTGCCTCAACTTTTTTTGGGGGGGGGGGATTCGTTTTCTAAAAAATATATACAATTTTGGGGTCTAATTTTTTGCTCCATGCATATTCTACATATGCTAATGAGTCCAACAATAATCCAAACTAGGCACTCCTTATACTTCATTTTTAATTTAAAAAAATCTTATCACTGAATGATAGCTAAAGCTGGTAGGTTTGTTTTTGTTTTGTTTTGATCAAAAAAATTGGGTTTCTTTCTTTCTTTTAAATCACAGCTAAGACTGTGTTTTGTGAGTTATGATCTGTCTTCAGAGATGGTATTAATGCATCAATGCACATATTGTGATCTAAGTTTATTAGCATGTGATCTTTGGTGCATAAATCACAGATATTTATACTTGTTGTTTCCTGTATTTTGGGATTTTGTGTTCCGTCTGGGAGCAATGTGAACTTCCTGCAAAATTTTTTGTCTTGATGAATATTGTGATAATTTGTGATGAAATGGGACTGCTATGCCTTTTAGTCCTTTACTACGTATTTTTGAGGTCCCTACTACATATTTAAAGTTTCAGAGGCTGATCTTTTCCATTGCATCTGGTTTTCCACCTCTCTCAGAAAATTAAATATATGAAGGGATTTTCTATGTAATGCACGATCATCAAATAAAAGCAAAGCGCTCACCTTCTGTATATGTTTCTGTGGCTTCTTTCAAAGAAATCACTGTGGGGTGGTATTATAATTGCTGGGAAGCACCATTCCACTGGAGATCTTTGGTAGATCGTTTCCCTACAGCTCAACTGATGTGGAGAGACTAAACCCAGGAATAAGCCAGAAGGTTCATTGCAGTTGTTTAGCTGTTCATGCTAGGGATAAGCGGCAAGGTATGTATGGGAATGTTTTGAAAATACAGTTGTGACACTACACCCCATATTCTTTATAGTGATATTATTATGACATGAATATGGCACAATTATGATGTATTTTATGCAAGATAGATCATGTAAGATTTCATTGGAAAGGTTATGATTTACTGAATAGACTATCCTACTTGTATGCATGTATCATTTTGGTATCTGAAGTTAGGAATATTGTCTATGTATCTAGTACAAATGTGTTTACACCTGGGGAATGCCCACTAGGCAAAAGACTGTCAGTCTAGATGGCTGTCTGGGAAGGGCCCATTCAAGTCAATGGACCATTAGGGAGAAAAACTGGTCTTAGGAGAAGTTAGTCTACTACCAGGGAGCGATCCTGAGGATGCTACAAACAGCCTCCGAGTTTTGGCTGCTATGGCAGTACAGGGGCATGTGACCAGGCCACCTGGTGCTGGACTCCATCTTGGAATACCAGTGTTTTTCCACTGAAAGGCGTGGGAACCAAGCTTGGAAACAAAAGGTTCCGGTCATATGCAAAAGCTATTTAATGCAGGGGAGTGACATCATCATTATTCTTCGCTGACTCCCCACCCAAAAGAGACTCTTGGAATCACCTGAGGAACGAGGACTGAACTGGGAGGAAGTGCTTGAAAAGGATTTTTTTAACCTGTGAAGGGAATACCTTGTGTTTAAGCTGCAAGCAAGTACAGCTGGTCCCTTAAGAATCTCAGCAGCTTGCTTAAATCATTGGATAGAAGTAGCAAATTCTCACCCTAACCAATCTCTTTAGTATATTGAGTTCAGGATGCACTTTTGTTTATTTGCTAGCTTTGATCTGTTTGCTATCCCTTATAATCACTTAAAATCTCTTTTGTAGTTCATAATCTTGTTTTTTGCTTTATCACAAATCTGTGTGTGGGCATTAAAACGTGGGCAGAAAGCTGTTGCCTATTCCTCTCCACATTGAGGGAGGGGGCGAATTTCACAAGCTTACACTGTACATTCGCTGTGCAGCACACGACAGTATAATTTTGGGTTTACACTCCGGGTGGAGAGGGGGTGCTCTTGAGCAGCTGGGCAGTTCCTTAGCTGTAACCTCCCCATGCAGAGCTGATCACAGCAGCCTGTAAGTTCTGCAGCTGGGTGTGTCCCTACCTGGGAGAATACTGGTGAAAGAGCAAGTTTGGAGAGCTTTGCAACTTGTCACAGCAGCACAATGTGAGAGGGAACCCAGGCTGGTGGGACAGGGGGACTTAGTGGTACCCCAATTCCAGTTGGCACCCTGGGAGGAACCTGTCACAACAATGTACAGAGCAGATGGTTTTGAACTGAACTTTAGCTGTTGATTTCCCCCTTTGATTAATTTAAACATCCCAGAGCATCTGCTATTGCTAAAGGTTGGGTGTTTGCTTATAGGATAATCAGACTGTGTTAAACTTCATTATAATATGGAGATATACCTATCTCCTAGAACTGGAAGGGACCTTGAAAGGTCATCGAGTCCAGTCCCCTGCCTTCACAGCAGGACCAAGTACTGTCCCTCATAACCTCATACAGCTAAAATTGACGTCAAAGTTAACCTTTCTCCCCCCAACCAATTGCAACCTCTGAAGGAAAGAGGTTGATTTGATTTATCCTGATTAAAAAATAAATCACTGGAATTTCTCTTTTCCTTTTTCTAAGATCTGTAGCAAGAGCAACTGAGCCACTGCCAAAGGTTGCCATGGCTGGTAGACTCTCCAGAACAGAAATAGAAGAACTACAGGCCATAGTTGAGAGAGGAAACCTCATGGCAGCAGCTGCTAAACTTCAGGAGAAGCTAAAGTCATTAGAAAACACCCCACTGGATATCGCCATCACAGGACCATCAGGTTCAGGGAAATCATCCTTCGTCAATGCCATCCTGGGCCTGCATGATGATGATGAAGGTGCTGCTGAGACTGGAGTAACCCAAAAAACGATGAAGCCAAATGCTTACCCACACCCCAAACTCTCAAGTGTAACAATATGGGACCTGCCAGGAATTGGGACACCGAACTTTCAGCCAGACAAATATCTCAAGCAGGTAAATTTCAACAACTATGACTTCTTCATCATCATGGCCTCAGAGCGCTTCACTTCCCACCACACCAACCTCGCCCAGGAGATTCAGAAGATGGGGAAGAGGTTTTACTACGTGCGCTCCAAAGTGGATGCTGACTTGAATGCTGAAAGAAGGAAAAGGCATTTCAGCAAGGAGAAAACCCTGCATAAGATAAGGGAGGACTGCATAGAGAACCTGAGAGCAGTGGGTGAGGCCTCCCCACAGGTTTTCCTGCTTTGCAACTGGGAACTGGCTGACTATGATTTCCAGCTCCTGCAGGAGACACTGGAGAATGAGCTGGAGGCACAGAAGAGACACGTGTTCATCCTGGCCATGCCCAACATCTCGGCAAAGATCCTGGAGAAGAAAAAGGCTGCACTGCAGGAGCATATTTGGGAAGCGGCCATTGTGTCATGTGTTATTGGTGCTGTTCCTGTTCCAGGCCTCTCTCTCGTCTGTGATGTAGCCCTCTTGGTGTCTCACATGATTCTTTACAGTGTGGCCTTTGGCTTGGATGACGAGTCTCTCACTAGACTGGCTGAGCAGGTTGACAAGCCTGTTGCAGAGCTGAAATCTGCTATCATAAAGTCTCCACTGGCCTCAGAAATAACACACAACTTTGCACTGACTCTGCTTTCCAGATCTGCATGTGGTGCACTGATGGTAGCTGAATTTCTTCTGAAGTTTATCCCTGCCCTTGGCTCACTAGCAGGTGGAGGAATTTCTCTTGTGACCACACGCTACATGCTAAAGAACTTTCTGGATGAGGCTGCAGAAGATGCTCAGAAAGTTCTGGCCAAGGCTCTTGAACCCAAAGCTAAAGAGTTCAAATAACAGCAATAAGACCACCTATGCCTGTGCATAGAAAATCAGACATGCCCAACCCTGCCAGAATCTCTAGATGTGGGTGAGCCCAAAAAGAACAACAAAAACAAAACTGCACCCAAAACGGCCAAACAGCACCTACATTTCCACCTTTAAAGCCCCCAAGGTGCCTAAGTTTCTGCCAGTGAGCAGGCGCACAGCCGCATCAGTCTAGGTGCTCATGAACCTGCCTCACATTGACACCCCAGAGGGTTCCATTCCCTCATCTGTCTGGCCTGCAGGGCCCGATCCAGGAGGTGTTCTCAGGACGCACCCAGGGCCGCCCAGAGGATTGTGGGGGCCTGGGGCAAAGCAATTTTGGGGGCCCCTTCCATAAAAAAAGTTGCAATACTATAGAATACTATATTCTCGTGGGGGCCCCTGTGGCCCCGGGACAAATTGCCCCACTTGCCCCCCCCCCGCCCAGGTGGCCCTGGGAAAAATAAACATTTAAAAACTTTCCGCATCTCGGCACAAACCCAGTTTTGAGAGAACTTATTTTCAAGTCACCTTTACAAGGTATCACTGGTTCTCAGCATCAGCTAGTGCTAAAAGGCACTAAAGTTCATTAAAATGGTTGGACAAATATTTTCCGTCAAAACTCTTTTTGGATCAAAACTAGGGGTTTTTAAAAAGCAGAAAAAAATCACGGACAATGTCTGCTTTCCTTCCAAATTTGTTGTTGTTTTTTAATTGAAAAGCTGAAATTAGGCTGCCAAAACCTGAACATGGTTTGGGGTTTCAGAAGTGTGTGGCCAAATATTTGCTGCTTGCTGTGTTTGATTGTTTAAAGAAACAATAAAAAAATTCTGCTTAAAAAAAAATCCAAAACTTTTGAACCACCTCAGCTTGTGACCAAACGCCTGAGCCCATCCAGTCAGAGATTTGTCCAGGTTTCTGATACTCTGCTGGATTCCTTGACTCATATCTGTCTCCAGAACTTTGGGTTCATTTAGGTTAGAACATAAGAACATAAGAATGGCCATACTGGGTCAGACCAAAGATTCATCCAGCCCAGTATCCTGTCTACCGACAGTGGCCAATGTCAAGTGCCCCAGAGAGAGTGAACCTAACAGGTAATGATCAAGTGATGTCTCTCCTGCCGTCCATCTCCACCCTCTGACAAACAGAGGCTAGGGACACCATTCCTTACCCATCCTGGCTAATAGCCATTAATGGACTTAACCTCCATGAATTTATCTGTTTCCTAGAGACTGGCTCCATGGAGTCCCTCACAAACTGGAGACGGTTACTGTGGGTTTGTCTTTAGTATAGCTTATGTACATACTCCATGAACTGAGCATTTGAGCTTGTTCCAGAATCTGGGATGAGCCTATGTTGTGAAAACTGAAATGCTCAAAATAGCACATGCATGTGAATGGACACAGGGTGCTAAAATTAAATTAACCCAGGGGTTCTCAAACTGGGGATCGGGACCCCTCAGGGGGTCACGAGGTTATTACTGGGGGTCGCGAGCTGTCAGCCTCCACCTCAAACCCCGCTTTGCCTCCAGCATTTATAATGGTGTTAAATATATAAAACGTGTTTTTAATTTATAAGGGGGGGTCGCACTCAGAGGTTTGCTATATGAAAGGGGTCACCTGTACAAAAGTTTGAGAACCACTGAATTAACCCCTCTGGAGCCTCGGGGAATGCAGGGGAGGGGGGTCTCCCTTGGTAGGGTTGGGAATGAGGTAGGTGGTGTAGGATATTGCTCTTCTCATGTGATCCCTCCCCCATGGCTCTCTTGGCTCTATCACTGTTAATCTAAAGTGGCTAATTTGAAATGAAGCTCCCCTCCCCTGACATGAATCTCCCTATGGCACTGAAATGAAATGTAGACTATAATTTGGCATTTGAGAAGTGAAAGGGATGGTAGCCCTAAGGGGAAAGGTAACAGCTTGGCTCATTGTGTTAAATAGCTGTCTGCAAGCCTCAAACTGCGGAATGAGCTTTAGGGTAGGGAAGGCTGTGCCTCCCCAAACAGCCTGGCCCTGCCTCCTATCTGACCCCCACCCACTTCCTGCCCCCCGACTGTCCCCCTCAGAATCCCCAACCCATCCTGCTCCTTGTCCCCTCACTGCCCACTCCAGGACCCCACCCCCACCAACCCCCCCGTCCCCTTACTGCCCCAACCCCTATCCACCCCCCCGCGGGTCCTGACAGAGCCCCAGAACACCCACGATCCAACCCCCCGTTCCCTGTCCCCTGACCGCTCCCCCTCCCCCAGCAGTGCTGTCCAGGGCCACTCCTGGGCTACTGCTGCCTCTCCTCTCTCTTGGAGCCTCAGCGCGCTGCGTCAGGAGCTGCCCTGGCCCCTGGACAGTGCTGCAGTGGCGTGGTTCCAGCAGGTCCAGAGATCGCAGCCCTGCCCCCTTACCACGCGGCTCTGACTCAGCGGGAGGAGCTCAGGCCCCGCCAGACTCAGGCCGCTGCAGCGCTGTCCAGGGCCGCTCCGTACCGGCGCGCTGAGATGATGGGGGAAGGCGGAGGCAGGGCCGGGGGCCCCTGCGGGGCCTGGCACCTGCTCCAACCACTAGGCCTGATCCTGCTCTAACTGCTAGGCACAACCACCCACATCCCAATCACTGACAATGGGGGTGTCTCTCTAATAACTTTTAGTCCAGTGCTTAGAGTAGCTTCCCGGGATGGGAGTAACCCTAATTGAAATATTTTCTCCACTTCAGGCAGATGGGGGAATTGAAGGTATTCTAGATGGATTGAGCTATTGTGATGAAATAAGTTTATATATAAAAAGGGAAGTCAGCTAAAAGTTGGTAAATCTTTGGGAAAGATACGTGAATGTTATGACCGGGTTTACTGAGGGGTGCTCCTGTTAGGAAAATAAAAGGGTTGCATTCACACTGATTTTTTTTTTAATTCAGTGATAAAACTAAATAAGGATAATATTTGCCATCAAGCATGCTGATGTTACCACGAATTAGTGAAGTACACCTGTGCTGGGAGAGGCAGGAAAAAAAGTGCTGAAACCAAAAAAAAGTCTATTTAACTCTGTGACCAACTGTCCTTATTAATCAGAAATGTAACTGCTGGATCAGTGATGCACAACCCCAGCTCAGTCACACCCACAGGTCCTGCCACAATTGTAAAATAAGGAGACTAGGATGGCAGATTTATACAGCTGTTCCAGCCTTTTGGAGGATCAACAGTTCATGTGATTCCATGTTACCGCAGAGTGGCCTTGTTTAAAGTGCATCAAAGAATGTGGCAAGACTTTGTATAAAACTCCATTGGAACATCAAACTGGACATTTCAGCAGCCAGCAAAGCGTGAAGGGCAAATGGCAGCTTGGGACAGCATCGTGTGCAATAGTGACCAAAGTGTCATTGCAAGAGGGGCCCATGAAAAGCAATTTGTGAAAGGAGGTTGCTGAGCAGAGCTGAGAAGCAGCTGTTCACTGGCTGTCCCAAGATGGTCATATTCATGGCTATGGCCTTCATTGTCCTATAATACAACTTGATGTGACACCAGGAGTTCTGCACAAAAGAAACTGGAATTTTTGAGACTTCTCCCCCCCACCCCCCATGTAAGAACTCAAGACATGCCTTTGGTTGGGTGACAAGAAGGACACATTCTCATTTTGGTTGGACATTTCAAATCTTCATCACAAGCATGCATCATCATCATTTGATTGGTCCATGCCAGCTTGCCCAAGAAGAGGAACCAAGTTGAACTCACCGCAGAAAGAGGATAAAGTGGCCTGTCTCTTTCAGTACATCACTTCTCAAAAGCCAAGGACATCTGAAAAGGAGAAGACTGAAATTCTGAGCTAGCCACCTGGTAATCCTCACTCCTGGTAATATTAAGTACCCCTCCGTTAGGCACCTTTAACTGTCTCTCTTGGGGACTTGATGATAAGTAACAAATTGACTTTCTCTTTGGCAAGAACCCAAATCAGTTACTTGACTCCTTCCTGAGCTGGGTACCTAATTACTAAGGACATGTTCATGCTTGGTTATGTGGTTTTAAAGATTGTCACAGAGTTATAGTTTGTGCCCTTGTTTTAATAAAGTTTGTTGTCAAGTAGCTTTTAAATAGAACAAGTTACAATTCCAAAACACTGTATATCCACTATAGTTAATAGTGACATACGGCCTGTAGCGGGATGGACACCCGCTCCTGCCCTGAGGGGCTTAAAACAGCCCTGGGAGAGGGCTGTTGCAGGGGGAAGCAGCTACTAGGCTGATTGGGGAAGCAGCTGCAGCTGGGCCATGCCCCAATCAGGCCCAGCTCGTCCCTATAAGAGGCTGTGAGCCAGAAATCCAAGCAGTTCTCTCTGCATTCAGAGAGAGAAGGGCCTGGCTGCAGGGAGCTTAGGACAGGGTACCTGGGTGGAGCAGGGCTGGGGACAGGCTGGGGAGCTCCAGCCTGGAAAGCCCCAGGCTGTGGCCTAGCAGAAGGCTAAAAGGTACTGGGGGTTGTAGAGGGCAGCCCAGGGGTAGGCCAAGCAGCAGGTCCAAACCCAACCTTGCCAGTGATGAGTAGGCTGATACTGTAGTCTGCCCCAGGGCTTGGGGCTAGACAATGACTGGCAGTAGCCTTATAGTGAGGTGGGAATAGTGGGTGGGGGTTCCCCAGGGAGGGGAGACCCTAAGACTGAGGGGTTAGTGCTGGGGGCAGCACCCCAGATACAAGGGCACTGGGGTTCTGGGAGGGACATGGGGCCAGAGGACAGGTGGATCACTGGCCTGCAGAGGGTGCGCCGGAGCTGGAACGAGCTAATTCCCGGAAGTCACCAGCAGGTGGCACCGCAGGGGTGAGTCGGCTCCTCTACGAGGCCTTTCAAGTTCTTAGTTTGTTTCTGTATACACCTAGGCCTGGTCTACACTACGAGTTTAGGTCGACTTTAGCCGCGTTAAATCGACTTAAGCCTGGACACGTTTACACTACGAAGCCCTTTCTGTCGACTTAAAGGGCCCTTTAAACCGGTTTCCTAACACCACCTCGAC